CACGGCCTCAGTTAACTCGCGCAACTTCACTTTACGATCACTCAAAACGATTCGATGCACTTGCTTTACGATTTCCGCATTCGTAGCCTCTTTTGGCCTTCCAGAGCGAGGTGCGTCTTCGGTGCTTGTACGACCCATTTTAAATTTACTAAATCACCGATAAACTGTTGTTCTCGAAGGAGCAGATGTGGGATAACATTTCTGCAACCATTTCAATGATTGTCCAGAAGTTTTTCCCATCAAAAAACAATGTTTGATTAAGATGCGATATTCCTGTTTTTCCATTTTTTTTACGAAGGCGAAAGTAACGCCACTTAAACGACTGTAGCTTGTAACGAAATGTCATGAAACTTCATACATAAACTAGTGACAGATGAATCTCTCGAAATGAATCATGTTCATTTTCTAGTGGCACCACCTATTAAAAAATCCCGGGACTTTTCAGCCCATGTAGTATACTCTTCAATCAATTCATTCGATGTTTTGTGTCTTTCGGAATTATTTTCATAACATATCCTTTTTTTAATGAATTGTTACAAAACGGTATTGTACATCCAATATTTCTAAAATAATTTCGATAACTTTATTTTTATCAATGTACCTTTACGTATCTATGTTGTTCAATGCTGTTGCACCTAACTCTAAAACTGACAGTCTGTTGGATAGACTGAGAGCGTATATCTCTTTCTCTCTCGCAGAATTTCGCTAAAACATGACGTCATGTCTCGTATGGCACCACTCTGATTATAGGCTCTCTAGTAACTCTATTCACGCGACAAATTCTCTTTCTCTCTCTCTCTCTCTGAGGCTGTATACTGTCACTACTAAAAATCTATAGTTTGCATTATGTGCACTATAGATTTTCAGTACGACAGTAAATTTTGGAACACATCCTGAAGCTCTCTAACTGCCATCGCCGCGTGCATTTCGGAACGCGTCTCTGGCTGGTCACACTTCGGGTCATATGACCGACGTTACGCCGAGCATTGGACGTGCTGTCGTAGGCGTTGACTGAACGATTGCTCTTCACCGAGTCTCGTGATCTCGAGTCCTCGCGAGCCCACCGAGCATCTTTAAGGAAGAAAATTGACCGGACGACATCATGGCTCTCAGCGACGCAGATGTACAAAAGCAGGTGAGCGAGGAAAAATAAGTCTCCTGTGTGAAGCGTCTTTTCATTCACGGAACGATCTATCTTTTTTCCCAACTCGCCATCGTCTTCTTCGAGCTCAGCATTGTACTCTTGCGCTATTAATATCTTTTCGATTATTTATTGTTACGCTAAAATGTTACTACCTTCGTCAGGTACATTTCTCAAGAGAGATTGTACATTTTCTTAAATATTTCGGATTTTCATAGCTGCTCTAAATCGAGATTCTTATACCAGGAGCTAGAATAAAATCGTACAAATGAATGACAGTTCGTGAAAATTGAACAATAACTGATGTATTGTCGAGGAATTCTGTAGTCATTTTAATATCTGTGAAATAAACATTGAAAAATATAGTAATTAAATTCAAGTCCCTTACTAAGAGATATTGATACTTGGAGATTTGAAGCTAAAGAAAGAAATGATATGATTATAGATCAAGCATATGATGGCCTTCATAGAACAAGAGGCCAATGAAAAGGCAGAGGAAATAGATGCCAAGGCAGAAGAAGAATTTAATATTGAGAAGGGACGCCTGGTGCAACAACAGCGTCTCAAGATCATGGAGTATTATGAGAAAAAAGAAAAACAAGTTGAACTGCAAAAAAAGATGTATGTATGAAAAATTATTTTATTTTATTTTATGTGTATATACTATATATTGCGTAGTGGGCCAGGAGACTGATAAAAGTAATCAAAAGTCACTTTTGGATTTTCGCCTAATGAAATATACTATAAGTATCAAGTATGTAAGTTAAAATATTAATTGTTTTTGAAAATTTCAAGTCAATTTATCGATTAATTTTCTACTGCTAAATCTTTAAAGTTTAAAAAGTGCATTTGAGGATGACAAATAGTTGTCCTGTAAATTTTCATAAATTTCAGTAAACAATTATAGATTTAAATTATACATCAATAATTTCTTCATTTTATTATGTCTATCTATCATGAAAGTTTAGCATAGAAAGCGCAAAAATGCATAAAGATATATATCTGCAAACAATTTTACATGTGTTATCTCCTATGTTTCAATTCCTATGTTCAAGATGCCAATATGCCATACTACGATGCACCATATTTAAATTATAAAAATGAACTATTACTGTATTGCTCTCAGTGTATATGTGAAGTTAAATTGGCGACTTAACTATTTGCGCTTTTGGTTAATTCACAGAGAACTGTAAATAAGTCACAGACGGGAAATTGGCCTCCGTTCACCATTGGCTGCATTCAGCGGACTCAACAGTTAAGTTAGCGCTCGCTGTTATTGGTATATTCTTTTAGATCATCCAATCAGCATTTTAGATCTGGAAGAATAGCAGCAAATAGCACTCATTCAACTGTTGAGTCCGCTGAACGCAGCCATTCTTTACGTATATGACTACGCTGAAGCACTTATTTACGTTGACTGAAAATTTATATATTTCTGAAAACTATTTACTTAATTAATTGAACTAATATGTACGAATGTATTAAAAATTAATATATTAATTATTTAAATAATAGAAATAATTATCATATTTAAATAATAGAAAATATATCAAAATCGATCATTTCTCTTATTAAAAAACTTTACGAAATGAATACAACAGTAAAATTTATCGTATTGTAACCTTCCTGTACAGTACACTTTATTTCATGGTGGAAAAAATATAAGGTGAAATACTCCCGTGGATGCGCAGTAGGAAAGTGAATTTGGGTAACAAATTTGATTGGTTGTTCCAATATAACTAGCGCTATTATACGCAGGAAAGTGCATATTGGGCAACATTTATTTAATTGGTTATTTCCAGTATTGCTACCACCATTATACGCAATGTTTCATCTTATATTCTTATCATGCTTTATTCAGGGACGTCTTAGAAAATTTTTTGAACATATAAATAAGTTCTCTTAATGTCTTTAGAACATTTCTTGAAATTGTGTTGTGGGTTAAAAAAAAACATTGTTGAATCGTGCTTCTCGTTCCCGATCTCACAAACGCCGTACGTCATTTGTTTTTATCAATCTTTCGCGCGTATTCGCGGCAAAAAGCTCAGTTTTCAGAACAACATGAATACTACTAATACTAATACTGTGATGACGAAAGAGTGGACCTTCCCACTACTAATACAGCAGCCCGTCTTTCCTAAGTCATTTGCCATATTGGATCCGTCATTTTAAATTGAATTTGGATTTGAAATCAGCGATTCCAAAAATGCCTAAGTAACAAAATTTCAGGACAATCGAGATACTTTAGTATTTTTGTTCGTATTGGAATATCCACCATTTTAAATTTTTAAATTTTGAATTCGGATTTGAAATTAGCGATCGTGGGCTGTGTTCCAAAATTCGCTGAAAATCTACAGTCTACATCACATGTATTTATACATTTTCAGCACTGACAGTGAATTTTGAAACAACCTCAAAAACCCTCGAGTATCAAATTTGCATGACAGCAATTAAAACATTTTTATTTAATTGAATGATTTTGGCCACTTTTTCTGATCTTCTGGTCCACTGTGCATTGTATAATATTAATATACATACAAATTTTTCATTAAGTACTTTGCGAGTTATAAGGCTTGAACTGTAACTTTCAAACCTTATAACTCGCAAAGTACTTAATGAAAATGAACTTAATTATAGTTTGGAAAGCTCTCGAGATAAGCTACAAGAATATGTAATGAAAAAGGAGGGTTCCATTTAAAAAATTCATGTTGACCTTGACAATGCCATCTTAGGTCAACTACTATCGTTGAATTAGCGTCTTTTTAAACTTTACAACTTTTGTAAGAAGCATTTTTTTTTTTAATGTATCGTTTATGAGATATTTGGGTGTATCTAGACTTTTGGCCCACCCTGTATAATATTACATATTTTAATATTAGCTTTATCTTATTGTGCGTGCGTGCGCATGCGCGTATGGGGATGTGCGAATGCGCGCACGCGCACCTGTGCAAACTATTAGAAATTATTATGACAAACTTATAATTTTAAAGGGATCTTGAAGTCGTCTGTGTTTTATCTGGAGACGCGGTAGTGGCTCAGCTAAGCGCGCGCAGCAACACTGCCATGTCGATTATCCTTTGAATGAATATTTTTTTAATTGCAGACTTAAAAATCCTTTCCTCCTTCCATAATTAAAATATAAATAGTAATGCAGTCCAAACTGGTTTAAATAATGCAAAAACTTGACTTAAATAATGCCAAAAACAAAAATAGTTGGAAAATAATCTTATTCTCCCAGGCTTCTGGGAGTTAATCGTGTAACTTAACTTTTACTCTATAGTAGAAATGTGAAAAAAAAAGAATTTTTAATATATATGTGTATATGTACATATAAGGGCAAGTCAATAAGTTTTTAGAAAAACATAGTAAAACACTTTTTTTTTGATCGATTCATTTTTATTTCTCAACATAGTCTCCTTTCAGCTCGATACATTTGATCCAACGATTCTCCAACTTTTTCAAGCCGTCCAAATAATATGATTTGTCCAATCCTTCAAAATAAGCCTCCGTTTCGGCGATGAGCTGCTCTCTGGTGGTGAATCTCTTTCCTCCGAATCATTTCTTCAGGTTTGGAAACAGGAAATAGCAGGGGGTTAAATCTGGCGAATATGCTGGATGGGGAAGCAATTCGTAGCGGGATTCGTTGAATTTGGCCATCGGTGCCGGGCACGTGTGAACCCGTGCATTGTCTTGGAAGAGCACTTTTTTCTTCGCCAAATGGGGACGTTTTTTCTTTAAAATGTTGTTGAAACGGTCCAATAAGGCTGCGTAGTAATCGTCATTGATCGTTTGCTTCGACGGAAGGTAATCGATATGAATTATACCACGTGCATCCCAAAAAACTGTGGCCATCATCTTTCCGGTCGACTTCACGGTCTTCGCCTTCTTCGAAGCTGGTTCACTCAGTGAAGTCCATCATTTTGACTATTCCTTCGTCTCGAGTGTGAAGTAATGGATTCATATTACCTCAGTAATGAATCGACGTAGAAATTCATCCGGATTACGTTGAAACATTGTTTTGAAATCGTCACACGGTCGCGCTTATGGTCTACAGTGAAGAAAACGCGGCACCCATCTTGCCAATAACTTTTTCGTACCCAATTGTTCGTGCAAAATTGAAATCACTGTGTCATATAATATGTCTGTGGCCTCAACAAGCTCGCGCACTTTCACTCGTCGATCAGTCAAAACAATATCGTGGACTTTATCGATGATTTCTGACATAGCAGCCTCAATTGGACGTCCCGAACGAGATGCATCATGTGGATGTACGACCACGTTTAAATTCATTCACCCAATTGTATACAGTTGCAAACGCTGGTGCAGATGTGCTATGAACATTATTCAACTTGGCTTTGATTTTTTTCGGCGTTAAACCTTTCATATGTAGATGTTTGATCACTGCACGAAACTCGGTTTTTTCCATTTTGCAAAAAAATACAAAAATTGTTCACTTTAATCGTCTACAGAAATGAAACCACGCGATGAATTCCGCTCAAAATTTGATAGTTCAAAGTTCAGCTGAAAGATGCTACTTGTCAAAAAGTAATATGATATAACACTGCGAGTGCCCTTTAACAGATTTTCTAAGAACTTATTGACTTGCCCTCGTACATATTTACATGAAAATTTTTACTATTCACATTTCCATTCGAAAAAAAGTTACATAATTGATACTCTGGCGCCAGCTTGTAATAATATATTTGCTTTATATACAAGTTTTCCATTTTGTATATATAAAACTGTCTTGGTTTGGACTAGATATTACATGAATAATGTTGAGATCTTAGAATTATGTTTAAATACTTAATATACTGAAAAAATTAGATCCTACTATCAAGGACACCTTCTGTAAAGTATCCTATTTTTCTTCTTGTAATCGCCTAATAAAATTTGTTTAGTGTCCTTCCTATGTTGGAATAGTGGAAAATGAATTAGCGGATAAATCTGCTAAAGAAGGTGCTAGTAAGAGCCTTACACTTCATAACAGGAGTTTACTTTTGGAGGTTTTACATAGTTTGATCACGAAATATAATATAAAGCTAATGCAAAATTTAAAGAAAAACTCAATAAGAACACGGGTAGTTATTACATAGAATTATTTTAATAGAACTAATATTTTGTTTTTTAGTAAATGTCATCTAGATAGATCTAACTTAGAACTAATCATCCTAATGATAACGGGATACGCTTGGACGAATAGCAGAAAATTTAAATTGGGCATGATCGAAACTCTACGTACGTGTGGCGAAATCCTTTGGGGGGAGGGGGGGATATTAATCATATCATGTGAAAATGTTCATTTCTGAAAAATGAGAGGAAGATCCTGGAAGATTACTGCTTTTCAGCCAAGTTAATGTCCCTTTTTTCATTTAAATATATAATGACGAACTAATCATGAAATCATAAATAATGTCCTTAAGTTCATCTATGCTCAAGATAAACTGAGAATTTTGCTTTGAACTTTCTTTGAGTTTTCTTTTGTGAACGAACTTTGACAAGAAATGCTCCTTTCCTGTATCTCATCGACATATGGCAGACAATGAAGAATATATTATTATATTAAAGATATGCACTGATCTAACTTTTCCAGCCCAATGAATTTTTATTGGAAACGTGATAAACTCTATAAATGAGATTGGAAATCCACTAGCCAAAGAAGAAGAAGAAGATACCTAATATGAAAGATTAATTAGTTAGAAAATTTGTGTGCGTTATTGATGTAGTAGCATGTACTAATGTATTAATATATACATGAATCATATGTGCGCAAGTCCTACTAAATCGATAAAAAAATAGTCGACTTTAGGATGTTTTTAAAATTTTATTTTATTTATTTAGAAATTATAAAAATACCTAATATGCGTTTGCGGTTTATTTTATAATTTTATTAATTGTAGACAATCTTCAAACATGCTTAACCAGGCACGATTGAAGGCTTTAAAAGTGCGCGAAGATCATGTACGCAACGTTCTTGAAGAAGCTAGGAAGAGATTAGGTGAAATAATTCATAACCCTGCGCAGTATAGAGAAATTCTCCAACTGTTGATAATCCAAGGACTTTATCAAGTAATATTTTTATAATTTTAATTATTTTGTTATTATCGTGTGTTACGTTATCATTTTTTAACCTTATAAACATTTTTATAGTATAATTTATATTTTTACAGCTAACAGAAGCAAACGTTACTCTTCGTGTTCGTCAAGTCGATCTGCCGCTCGTAGAATCCCTTATTGACAACGTTCAGCAGCAGTATAAGCAGAAAACTAAGAAAGATGTTGCCTTGAAGATTGATTCTGATAATTTCTTGCCCACAGAAAGCTGCGGAGGTGTGGAATTATTAGCATCCAAAGGTAATTATATCGTCGAAATATATTTTTTGTTGTACTAAAATTATTAATTTTAATACATTTTGCAAAAATAATGACAAATATGTAAAATATATCACGTAACTTTAAGTGATTTGAATTACAATTTTGATTTTAACAAAGTAATTATATTAATTGCTGAAATTAATATTGCATATAAAATAACTTTTTGTTCTACAGGGCGCATAAAGATTAGCAATACTTTGGAGACCAGATTAGAGCTGATAGCGCAACAATTGATACCCGAAATCCGTTCCGCTCTGTTTGGACACAATTCAAATCGCAAATTTAATGATTAAGTTAATTTTCTCGACAATTGATTGACTCTCCAAAACATTCCTTTTAACAGCAAATTATTATCACATTATCATGTATTATATAGAATAAAATTAGCATACGACACACTTTTTGTCGAGCTCATGCCTAATATTTTCAATGAAAGTATTTGATCAATTGCCGTGCAATATTTATCGTTGAAAGAATCGTAAACAAATTGTATAGTACTCATCACAAATATCCTTTTATTTTATCTCTATCCTTCTGACAGACGGTAATCATGAATATAAAGTGTATAGAGATGAAATATACTTCGTGATATATTCTATATCGATTCAAAATTTCCGTTAAAATTGGTGTTCACAAACAAGACAAAGTGTACTTTCTCAGGATAGGAATGTTAACGCGGATGAAATGTATAATTAATAATTAATGTTCTTGACTGCTTATGTTAAAAAGAATAGCAATTGCAATTGAATGTAGTACAGTCAATATATTGTGCAGAATCGTAATAAAGAAGTATTGAATGTGTTGCGCTTTATATGTATATAATACATTTGTATACTTATAGAGCATATATCAGTATATTATGTACATTATGTATAATATAATAATGTATCACAATAAATATATGATTCGTTGTTGTTGTAAAAATATCTTTTTAAAAAATTTATTTCCACAAATCTAATATCATAACACTTACTACATGTATATCAGTAATTAACTAAACATAATCCAAGATGCAAATACTTATATATTATTTTGATTTAACATATTCTTTACTTAACTCTTAGTAACACTCTAACTGAAAATAAAATCTCAGTAATAAATATTATGTTCGTTAATAATTAATAATTCTATTACAAATGCTATTTTATTTCCAAAGTTGATTTACATATTTATTGCTTGTACTTATTTCTTTGTGAAGAATGTAAATAGTACACATTAATAAGGTCTTTTTAAAAATTGATTCAGTCACCTTTCTTCTATTAAATTACAAATGGCATGTATAGTTACTGACATGATAATTTATGTTATTTTTAAAACACGTAATAAAGGACGTATGATGTATAAGTAGTTAGATGCTTACAATACAAGATGAACACAATGTAAAAATGTATTAAAAAATTTCAGCTATCTTTTTATTACACATTATTACGCAGAGATATGAAGATCGATACATGCTTCTCCTTCGAGATCTAAGGACTCTGGAGTATCTGATGGATTAATCTGTTCTCCATCAAAGTAAAGCTTCAAATTATTCTCCTTCACGCCAAGTTGCTCGGCGCAATTAGCGAATAGCGTCTTGAACGGTTCATCTTTCTTAAGTCGAATAGTCAAGGACTGTTTTTTGTTCGCCGTTTGTACTTTAATATTACATATGTCCTCATCATTGCTCTCATCCTTGGATAGTGTGTTCATACCTGGATTCACTATCCCACCATCTGCAAGTATAAAGTAAACATTACATTATTGTATTAAAATCAACGACTAATTACTAATTTATACGAACCGAGTATATCTATAATGGAAATTTCGAGCGATGCAGGGGTATCAGTATGATGGATAATTTTATCCTTCTTCATGATTAAGATTTCATTCACGGAAACTCCTTCTAAATTGGCATAATGCTCAAAAATACTTTTGAAATTATCATGCTATAAAATAACAGAAAGTTATCTTCACGAATATGTATTAAACAAAATATGTATTAAATAAATGATAAAAATAATTATATGAAACTACAATTTGCCATATGTCACTAGTTAACATATAACTGAGATACATACTCTACGCATACTTAAACGATCAATTCTGCTTGATCGCCAGTACACTTTTATATTTATCTCATAGTTATCATCTTCGATGTAAGCATCATCATCTGAAAGTGCAATTACATCATCTGAAAGTGCAATTACATCATTGCAAGATTCGGATTGCCTTTCTTTCTCCATAATTTCTACATTGTACTCTAGATCAATAGGCAAACGCTGAAACATTGACATAAAAATTATGCAATATCTTCTTGAATTAAACATCGATGCGTATTCTAGATTACATATACAGGGTGTTAAAGAATATTTGAAACAATAATACTCGTGTGCAGATAGAGCGAACTAAATTCGGAAGGTCCTCTACTATTTTTGCAAAATCGCCGAATAAACGCATAACCCGATATTTACCGCCAAGTGCAAACGCGCGGCGAGATATGATATATTGGTTTCTTTCACTACCGTGTAATTGTTGCCAGCATTGCCGTTTGTATAATATAGTAAACGATTCCTCACGCGCGCGCGCCTAAATCATAATCGATTGGTATGCATTTAACAATAGGTCCGGATACATGCTTATTAGGCGAAATCTTTAGAAATTAATAAATCTCATTATCTATTACGAAAATTGTACAGGACTTTTCGACTGAGTTTAGACTATTCTACTTGCATGCGATCGCTATGTCAAAAAGTTCAACACATCCCCTATATGTACATCTATATACACATATATATGTATGTGTATGTGTGTGTATATATATGTATGTATATATGTGTGTGTGTGTGTGTGTATATATATATATATATATATATATATATGTGTATATTCAAAGTAAAGCGTTACAAATTTTTATCTCAGAAATACGACATTATCGAGAAAAATTGTTCAGACAAAAGTTGTAGAGTTCGAAAAGATCTATTTGATCTTATCAGTTTAACTTTGGGTGGCATCGTCAATAAAATTATTTTTTTATTGAGTACTTTTCGAGTTATAATGCTTGAAAGTTATAATATCACCGACAGTTTTCCAAAACATTATAATAAAGTTATTTTTTTTGGGGTACTTCTGGAGTTATAAAGCTTGAAAGTTATAGTACCGTCAGCATTAACATTACTCAAATCCGACCGATGGTTAAAACCTCTTGAATGTTGTTCAGGATCATGTCCTCCATAACATTTGTCAAAATCAAGGCCACTGGAGATTATTCCTCTTATTTTCATTTTTGCACTAAAAATTTATTTTTACGTAAAAATAAAAATAAGAGGTACAACCTCCAATAGCTTGACAAATAATATCCAGGATATGATCAACATAACAACATTCTGAACAACATTCAAGTTTTAGCAGTCAGTCGGACACCTTGGATAATGCTAGTACCGTCAGCATTAGCATTACACAAGATGTCCGATTAATGGGTGAAACCTCTTGAATGTTGTTCAGGATCATGATAACATTTCTCGAGATCAAGATCATTGGAGGTTGTATCTTTTATTTTCATTTTTGTACTAAAGATTCTTATTTGTACGTAAAAATGAAAATAAGAGGAACAACTTTCAATGACCTTGATCTCGACAATTTTATTATTTAGGACATGATTCTAAACATTCAAGAGGTTTTAGCCTGGTTTTAGTAAGATATCTTACATAATGCTAATGTCGGCGATACTGTAACTTTCAAGCTTTATAACTCCAGAAGTATCCCAAAAAAAATAACTTTATTATAATGTTTTGGAAAACTCTCGAGATATGCTGTAAAAATATGCAACAAAAAATAGGGGATTCCATTTAAAAAATCGATGATGATGACTTTGTCCTGACCTTGGCGACGTCATCCAAAGTCAAACTTATTACGCCAATAAATAGATCTTTTGAAACTCTACAACTTTTATCTGAAACACTTTTTCCTAAAATGCTTAGGTTTCGAAATAAAAGAGGTATACGGGAATGTCTCATACATCTTGTATATACAGGGTAAGTTTTGACAAAGCGCTCGTTTATAGATAATGACCAAACTGAGTCGAAAAGTCCTCTACCATTTTGCAATTTTCGCACTTGTTAACAAGATATTAATTATTAAAAATTATTGCCGAATATTAGTCTTCAATAATTTTTTTTCTCAAATACTATCAATTTTACAGAAAAACTGAAAGAGACAAAAATTGTTTATTTTCTTCTCATAGAACTCCAAGAATTTTTTCAGAAATTTTTATTAACTTTTTAATACTGCATTTTCTTATTGGCAACTATTTTTACTAACATGAGAAAATATAGTATTAAAAAATTATTAAAAAATTCTCAGAACTTTATGAAAAGAAAATAAACAAGTTTTGTCTCTCGCTGTTTTTCTGTAAAGTTGATAACATTTGAGTAAAAAATTATTGAAAATCAATATTCAGCGATTTTTAGTAATTAATATTTTTGTTAACTATTACGAAAATTGCAAAATGAGGACCTTTCGACTCAATTTAGTTCGTTCTACACACGAGTGCTTTATCAAAACTTATCTCTCTCTCTCTTTCTCTCTCTCTCTCTCTCTCTCTCTCCCTCTCTCTCTCTCTGTGTGTGTGTGTGTGTGCGCGCGCGTGCATGCGCACACATTTAAAAAAAATATTTAAAAAATTACCCTTCCTCTAATTCGCCTACCGGCAGCTCTAGTAATACTTTTTCTAATCCATCTACCTCTTACCGTCCTGCTTCGCGTTTGTATTCCATCATTATTTATTTCATCATAGTATACGTTTTCATTATTTATTTCATTATTTATATTATCCTTTATATCTTTATTATGATCATTTATATCTTCACAGTTTGTTTTCGGCGCAATGCTTGAAAGTGAAATAAATAAAATATTATACAATATGATAAACAAAGGAACATGAAAATCGAGCAAAGTTTAAATGCTGAATAATTTGTATAAAAATAAGTATCGTTCGCACAAATACGCAAATATTTTAATCTTAGATTGAGTTGAAACATTTGCGTATTTGTATGAATGATATTTATTTTTACAAACATTATTCAGCATCCCCTTAACCGTTAAAGTACAAAATTAAAATTGTGTTAAAATATTAAAAATGTCAATCATTAAAACAATTTGTATTTTAATCTCTTTGTTTAAAAAACGTTTCGTAAATCAACATTTTATTCAAAGAAAAGATTCTGCTCTGAATAAATTTTTAACCATGACATGTTTTTTAAACAAAGATTAAATATAATTTTTTTATTAATTGCCGTTTCGAATATTTTAACAATTTTAATTTTACAATTAATCAATGTAATTATCGTTCAATTGTATAAAAACAATAATTAAAGTGTCAAGGATTAAGAGTGCAACAGCAAGTTGATCTATGCTAATATTTCAATTTATATATAAATACAAACAAACGTTTCGATCAATACATTCAAGTCATTTTCAATGTTAGTATTACATGATATAAGATACTAAAAAGAACGTTTATGAGACCTATATATATTAAAATACTTAATTTTTTTCATATTTAAATACAATATCCTACTATAAAAAGCTATATAATCTTCTTGAACATAGCTTTAAATGTGCTTTCAATAAAAATAGCAATACGTTATCAATAAAAATTCGGTTGCCATTATATGTCTCTTGATAAATTTTAAGTCGAAGAAAAAAAATTTGAAATCGAATCAATATAATATAACATAGTTAAATTCAGAACATTTCAAATTGTATAATATTTTTATAAT